TTGCCTTCGTGTTCATCTACGTTAGTTTGTAAGCTCAGTCAGGATTTGTTTTATTGTCTTTTTCAGAGACACTATATTGCCAAAAGTATTCTCTCACCCATCTAATTTATTGAATTCAGCTGTCTGGTAGCTTCCACGGTCATAGGTGTATAAATCAGGCAGCTTGGCCTGCAGACTGCTTCTACAAGTATTTGTGAAAGAATGGCTCGCTCTCAGGAGGTCAGTGGACATCAGTGTGGTATTGTGATAGGATGCCACCTGTGCAACAAGTCAAGTTGTGAAATTTCCTCACTATTAAATATTCCACAGTCAGTTGTCAGTGGTATTATAACAAAGTGGAAGTGATTGAGAACAGCAGCCGCTGCAACACAAAGAGGTAACTCACCTAAAATCACAAAGCGGGCTCTGCGCTTGGGTATGGGTTCGTGAACCTTCTGCAGAGTCAATCAATATAGACCTACAAACTTCATGTGGCCTTCAGATTAGCTCAAGAAAGCTTCATGGGATGTATTTACACTAGTGTGAAAATATGTATATGAGTAATTGCATATGAGAGCATGAGGGTGGGAATGGATGTTTGTATCTGTGGGTGCCTGTTTGTTTGTGTCTATATGTCAGGTCGGGTATCAGACGCCACCTCTCTAGGGACATCTCAGGCCCTCCATGGTATGGAGGCCTATCTCCCGCCACTACTTCCCCTGCCAGTGGCAGACGCCCTCAGACATTGGTCGTTCTTTGTGTCCGGGGATGGGTGTCCAGGTACGCACCGGCTCACTCCTGGTGGCTGCTTGCCTGGAGCATGGGGCTCACTCGGGCCCCTTCGGGGGTGGGGTGCCCTCGGCCTGGGGCTCGGTCACTCTGGCACATGGGCACGTCACAGCAACCCCCCCTGGCTTCTGCTCCGCGGCTGCTGAGTGACCCCTCATCTGGGGCTCCCCTCAGCTCTTTCCGGGATAGTGGCGCCGCTGCCCCTCTGTTGGTCTTCCTTGGTCGCTTGTGTTCTAGGGGCCTCTGGATGTCTGGAGCCTGGATCTCCTCCATACCTGCTTCATGCCCTGGAGGACGGGGCTGTGGCTCCCCACACCCTCTAGCTGATCATTACATGAAGGAATCTTTTAAATACAAGCGCCCTCATGCTCACAGGTGTACACACGGGTGCTCACACACACAAACTACACCCTTTTTGGCTCCTACCTCAAAGCACACTGTGCGCAGTCGATCCTACGTGCTGCACAATAATATTTAATATTTAGTATTTACTGTTATATTCCCATAGATCCTTGCGATGATGTTGTTTATAATATTGCTCTTTTTTTTTGCTTGTTTTCTCTTTTTTCTTTCTCAACAGGTGATCCAGGTGATTGATATACCGGTATGTATTTTTTGTGTGTTTGTTTTGTTGGTTTTTGTTTTTTGCCCTTTGTCACATTCCTCTTCTCCGCTGTTTTTCTTTCCCTCTTTCTTTCTCCCTTTTTTTCTCCCCTGTCAAGTCTGTTCTGTATTTAGGAAGTGAAAGTAAAATAAACAATAAAAGGTCAGTCAAAAAGACCAATACGCCAAGGCTGGGATGGTCCATTTGGTAAAGTAAATCCGTTGGACATCTTTCTTTGCCTTTAGACAATAATTCTGATGGCAAAAGAACCAAACGGGACAGGCAAAAAAAAAAAAAAAATGGATATGATAAAAACCTTTACTGGATAAGTGTAAGGTTTACCTTACTTAGGGAAGGTTTACTTTCTGTGAACTTTTCTCTGAAATCAGAAACTAAACCTGAAAACAATCATCAGTTTAATTTAGTGGTAAGTTGTCCTTCAGAATTATTATTTCGTTTTTGCATAAACAAAATTAGCATTTTTAGTATATGTTAGTGCTATCTTTATCATTCTAATACATTGCAGTTACTGGGTAAATGTGTTCACCAAATAAATGAATGGATGAGCCATAATTTTCTTCAGCTTAATGCTGAAAAACAGAAGTAATCACTTTTGGTCCCAAAAATGAAAGTCAACAAAATTCAATACAACAGAACGATTTAAAATTGTTTAGCATAGTTATGAATGCTGATTTGAATTTGAATAGTCATATAAACACCATTATGCAATCCTCTTCCATCTTAAAATATTAGAATTAGAATTAAGAGTCTTGTGGCAAAAAAAAAAAGAAAGATAATAAATGCTTATTCATGCATTTATTTTTAGTAAGCTAAATTATTGTAATTGTTGTTTTTATTGGTTTTAATTTAATGTACATCCAAAATGCTGTTGCTACATTTCTGACCAACACCAGGAAAAATTGATCATATTACAACTAATTTTAAAATCATTGTACTGGCTTCGGTGTGTAAAGGGATTGATTGTAAAATACTGTTAACGGTTTATAAAGCATTGAGGGTCTTGGACCTAAATATATTGCTGATCTACTTGAAGTCTGTGGTGCTCTTAGGTCTCAGATCTAGAACCAAACCTGGTGAGGTTGTATGAAAGATGCTATATGAATAAATTTGACTTTGACTTTAACAGGGTTTTGTTTTTTTTGTTTTTTTTAGTCTGTGTTATCTGTATGTCAATAATATTTGTAACAACCCGTTCTATTCATATTTTAGGTTTTTGTAGTTTTCAGCACAAAGTCAAAAGAAAACTCATTTTTATGACAGATTCCAGATGAGACCAGACTAATCAAAGGAAGGTCCCAACTGCTTGATGAACTGTTTTTGACACATTTCCAAAGTTTCCTGCATAGTTTTAACATCAATTAATTACATTTCACTGAATAATCACCCAAATTCCATTAATATTCCTGCAGGTCCTGTGGGAATTGTTATATTGGAAAGAGACTTAAAAAAAAATATAATCTTCATTTTGTACAGAACATAAATCAAGATACAAAGAAAAAAGTATAAAATACAAGCTGCTGAATAGGTATTAATCTCTTTACTCTATTAATTCTCATGTTCTCATTACTTATTTCTATTACAATACTGCCCGGCAATTAGAAAAAAGAAATATTATTATTAATATTATTAATTCATGTTCAGCTATGGAAAATAATAACAACAACAACAACAACAACAACAACAACAACAAAAACACTGCCTACATGTTATCTAACACAACAATATACAAAAGCACACTGTACATTCTGATGTTTATGTATTTCCCTGGTTTTGTCTTTCTCAGATAGCAAGCGAGTGGGAAGTGTCGGCAGACTCGGACCACATGGAGCTTCTCCTGTTGCTGACAAAAGACTGGATTTTTGCACTTGCCACTTTGCAGCCCAGAGACCTGAGGATGCTCATGAGCTGACGGCGGAACTTCACACCCACAAAAGCATACAGGATGGGATTGAGGCAGCAGTGAATGATACCCATACAGGTGGTCACTGTCTTTGCTTTCTCCAGAGATGTTGTGCCTGAATAAGTTTCTGTTTTGTTGTCAAAATGAATTGTTTCCACTAAGAGTGTGAAGTTGTAAGGTGCCCAGCAGATAAAGAAAACCACCACCACAGCCACAATAACTTTAAAAGCTCTCTGCTTTTGAAGGCTCTGGGCACCACACCTCAGCTGATCCAGGATGCGGGAGTAGCAGAAAATCATGACACCGGAAGGAAGTACAAAGCCCACTATGAGATAAATCATGTGTGATGCCAACCTCCAAGAGTCTTCTGCGTTTGCATCAAATTTACGATAGTTATGAACACACTCTCTTCTGCCTCGTCTATCATCAAACATTTCTTCTAAAAAGATCCAGTCAATGATGGAGAGAAGCAGTGAAAAGCACCACATCATCAGGCAGCTGGCCTGGGCAACCCAAGGCTTCTTCCTTGAGTACATCTGTGTAGCATGGACGATGGACAGGTAGCGGTCCAGACTGATGCAGGCCAGGAGAAGGATCCCACTGTAGAAGTTAATCTAAAGAAATCAATGAGGGACAAGACACCTCTGCTAAATAATTGAAAGTACAGATATTTTCAATGCATCTTTACTTCAGCACAATACTTACCATAAAGACACTTCGACTGATCATGCACAAGGGAGTACCAAATGTCCATCCATCACTTTGGGCATACTGTACTGCCCAGATGGGCAGCGTCACCAGCATCAGAATATCTGCCACTCCCAGATGAAGGATGAATATATCTGTCACACTCCAGGTCTTCCTACTCTGAGCCAGTATTCCCAACAGCAATCCATTCCCAAGTAGGCCAACAACAAACACCACAGAGTACAGAACTGGTATGAACACAGCTTCAAAATTCACAGTCTCAGTCAGGTCATTAATTTCATCCTCATAAATGCCATCATAAGAGCTGTTACAGACTGAGGTGTTGTCACACAATTCCTGCCAGTACTCCGCTGACAGTGAAATCTTTCCACCTTCCATCATCTGTGGACAGACAGAGGAAATTTTGTTTCATCGTTTGACTTGTCATATTTTTTTCTACCAGATGGGGGTGCCATCCAACTACCAGTGTTTTTGTTTGTTTTATTTTTGGTTACACAAACTAAAAGTAAAAATAATTTTTGTAATTTTCTGTATTTAGTTTAATCAATTCCAATAAATTTTCAGTGCATTTTTATTTATATAGCACCAAATTCACAACAACGGTTCCCTTAAGGCACTTTACATTGTAAGGTAAAGACCCTGCAATAATGTAGTGAAATCGCCAAGAATCAACTTAAAGCAAGGAACTAAGTGTGCAGATAAGCCTAAACATAAATCCCATCTCAAAACCAAAAAGAAATTATGAACACACACTTTTAACTTTTCCGTCAACATTGTTTGTTTTTTTGTCTCTTTAATTTGTTTTACATTCTTTTTTTTCTATTTTTTTTATTTAGTCGCAAAATTTGGGGAAGAGAAATTAATGTGCACATCCAAGAGGTAGCACGTGTAAATTCAGTTTGCGAGAAATTAAGAGCCACAAGGCTCTAAACATTAATCTGAATTTTAATTCTCTGTGACTTCATGCTATATCATGAATTAATCGTACTTTTGTTAAAATAAAGGATCCAAAGAGTCATATCACATCCATTACACCCTCATCTTTGAGAAAATTTCAACAACCTCTTGAATGATAAAAATGTATATATATATATATATATTCTCGCAAACTATCAGGCTTCGAACCACAGCGCATTTTAACACGCCGTGGTCTATTACTGTGAACTAAAGGTGTGCCTACAAACTGGGGGGGAAAAAAGAAGCAAATAATACAGAGTAAAGCAAGTGTTCATCCTCAAAAGTCAATTTGTGATCGTTTTGTAAATAGTTAATCACATTTATTTGTCCAGAGATGAGAAAGTGCAATTTAATCCATAATGTGATGTGTGTAAAGAAAGGAGGACAAACATTCTATAATATTGAACTGCACGAGGAATCAGAACTAACTAATATACAATGATAAAACAGTAAATAATTTTTTTAAAAGATAGGCGTGAAATGAAAACATACCAAAGCAGAAGTCGTTGATATTTTAGATCAGAGAAATATGCTCAGTGAAAAACACCTCTACCTCCAGCAGCACCGATAAAAGCATGTATTACCACTGAAGAGGAAGCTGACATAAGACAGACTAAGACAAAAGCCAAAAAAACCCTCCCCCACCTTGCAGAGCACATTACACGTAAAAACATTCGTAAAATTGCATCAGGACTTTTGATAGTTTTACACAATCTTAGAGACACCATCACCAAAGGTGACCTGATAAAACATTTTGGTGAAGATAATCTCACTATTCATTTTTATTCTATTTCTTCTTTCTTCTTTTTTCAAGACAGTGAGAATAAATTTGATCCCTTATTTAAAATGTCATATGTATTTTTAACTATCTATAAAATAATCTCAATCTGTACTTGTTGCCCCTCTGTTTATGTTAGACCCTTTCACCAACATGAAGATTTGCATATGATAAGAACGTTTATGGGGTAAGTCTGTAAGTAAGGTGGTTACACTTTCTGCAAATGTTTCTGTCAAATCAGAGACTAAACCTGAAAACGCACATCAGTTTCATTTGGTTTTAAGTTTTGTTTCAGATTCTTTTGACATTTAAAAGAGGTTTTGATTTTAGTCGATATGTGTCAAACTACATATCTGTATGTGAATAATATGTGTACTTTTTTATTCATATTTTAGGTTGTTGTTTTAAGTACAAAGATAAAAGAAAATTAACTTTCATGCAATTTCTCTGTCAGATAAAGAAAAATTCATCAAATTAGTCACCAGGCCTCAAATAGAAACTGGAACCTGGAGACCAGTACACCTCATCAAAGGACTGTACACACTGTCTGATGAACTGTCTTGTAATTTTGATATATGTTCCCAAAAGTCCTTCCAAAGCTGTAAGAATAAGTAAGTTTATTTCAACGAATAATCATCCAAGATTCCTTTAATAGGTCTGTTGGTCCTGTAGGTATAATCTTAAAAACAGACTTTATTATGATAACAAAGATTTATTGTACATTTGAACATTTTATACATAAAATATAAATCAATATGCAAAATAAATGTAGCATAAAATACATGTTTAAAACATTTTAAGATAAAATAGTAGCTCTTTACATTAATAATTCTCATGCTGTCATAATTTATTTCTATTACAATACTGCCCAGAAAACAGAGAAAGGAAATCTCATACACTGCCAACAAATGCAGGTGTGAGTTATTTCTGTCCTGTCACATTCAACTACTGGTGCACTAAGAACTGTAGCAAATAACCAGTGCTGATTTCAGGTAATGTAACACAAAAAATATACAAACACAAGTTGTATGTGCTGATGTTCATGTATTTGTCTCCATGTTTGTTTAGGTCAGTCAGATGTGTTGTTTTTTGCTTTCTCAGATAGCAAGCGAGTGGGAAGTGTCGGCAGACTCGGACCACATGGAGCTTCTCCTGTTGCTGACAAAAGACTGGATTTTTGCACTTGC